CCTCTAGGAATCTGGGGCTCAGGTTGTGCAGGTCGGGGTCCTGTGTCTGCCGTGTGGACCACAGGCACCAGTGGGTGCCCGGGCCCAGTGGAGCTGGCTGTGAAGTTGCTCTAGACACTCTCTGACCTTCCAGAAACGGAACGTCGCTCCCCTTTAACTCTCTGATAGGTTCCTGAACCCCGGACGGCAAACTAGCACGGTCCAGGAGCGTCCCTAGTCGATCTTTCCCCGGCTCCCAGGCTGCGCGCGCTGCGCTCTCTCCTGGCGGAGCCTTGGACTCTCGGAGCTCCGGTCAGCGCGTCCACAGCCCGGCGGGGTGCAGGAATCTGGGCCCACTCTCGTGGATGCCTTGCCATGAACACCGGTGGGTCGCGGGCCCCAGGGTCGCAGCTGAGAGGCAACGGGGGTCGGGGGCGGGGGTTGGTGCTAGAGGAGCAATTAAGGACAGCAGCAGACAGGGCCAAGGACGAGACTGAATGGCCAGTTGTGGAGAAATAAGGTTCGTGCCGACTCGGCGCAGGGCATAAACTTCAGGAAGCCTGCCCGAGGAGGGGCGTCTACGGGAGAATGGGGACTCATGCTGCCCACTAACGAAAACCGGGGGAGACCAGCTGGCCTGGCCGAGCGGAGGGCCAACCAGGATCTGGGGCGAGCGAGGAGAGTTAAAAAAGGAAGCGCTGATTATTGGAAATTCTCGATCTTCGGGGAGGAGGGAGGGAAGTGCGTTCTTTTTTTATTTTATTTATTCTTCGGGAGCTCAGCACTAAAGGCACAAACACCGGCTCTGTAGAGGCTGTCCCTGAGGAGCCCATCAAGGAGGCCAGGCCTTGCAAGTCGGTTTGGGAGCCCCAGGTGGGGCCCAGACTTCTCCTTCCAGGACGCGGGTGTCAAAGATTCCGACAACTTCGGTGGACTGCGTGAAAGCTTTTCAGGAAAGCGCTTCGGCTGTAGAAACTGAAAATACCGATGCAGCCCTAACACAATCGAAGCCCGAAGGGAGATTGCTTTATGCATGAGGAATTAAAGCTGGTGCAATGAAAAACTTTAAAAGAGGACAAAACAAAAACGAAACCAAAAAAAAAAAAAAAAAAGCAAATCTTAACTTCACCCCCCCCACACACACACACCCATGAGCGCCACGCACGTGCTAAAACGTCCTGGCTGCAAATACAATAAAATATGATTTGATACTCTGAAAAGTACTTATATTTTAAATGCCCCTCATTAATGAAGACCTACTTAAAAATTCGATTTTTTTTAAGTTAAAAAAAATCGGCGCAGACCAAAGTGGCAGTTATTTTGGGGTCCCAGATTTAAGTAATCCACGAAAACCAGAGTTGAGACAATGTATAAGTGCCTCTGGTTTTATTGAAATTCACTGGAATTTGTTTTCCTTCTTTCCTGAATAAACAAGCATGCAAAGAGGCACATTCGGCCGCTGGCAGGGCGTCAGCCTCGCGTCGGTGGCGCGGTGGCAGCGCCAGGTTTCCACATTTGGGTCAGAGCTGGCAGGCGCGAGCCACAGCGCCCCCTCGCCGCCTGCCTCGCGACTCTGGCCCGCGTCGCCTCCTGAAAGCCACAGGACCGAAGAGTGTCAGGCGAGTGCCAGGGCCTTGAAATCAGATTCGTACAGAACGCGAATCCTCGAATATCTGACTTGCCAGTGGCCTCCACTGAAAACCCGGGCAGTTTAAATGAGTCTTTAACCAGGACTAGCTCTAAATATTTCGGCCTTTTCAGGTGCGATAAAGACTTACCCATGCTAACGGTGCTTGTTTTTAATTCTGCTACACACTTGGGGAGGGTACACAAGAAATACCCATAGCCTAGGTAACCATTACAAGCGGCTTTCGCTTTCAGAGCACGGGTCACCCGACGTGCCCGCTTGTGGCACATGGTTCTCTCCATTTAGGTGGCTGGGAAAAGCAGGACCCAAAAGCCAGGTTTCCTTATGGACCTTATAGACCGGTACACCTGAACACCCCTCCTACCCTGGACCACATTATCCCGGCGGTTTTTTTTTTTTTTTTTTTTTTTTTTTTGAAAGGGAAGTTGTTGGATTGAAGTCTCGGCAGTGTGGTATTCAGAGCAGTTTGAGCTAACCCCGTGACCCTAGCAACGGTGAGGACTGTCTGCCCAGGCTCTCCACACTTGGAAAGTGAATTTTACTCATTGATTTTGTTGTTCTTGGTTCTTAAAGATCAAGACAACTTTAACCCAAGAAAAGAAAAATTGGCTTTTTCAGACTTAGGGAGCATTAATGTGAAATGGAGTTTAAATACCCCAACAACAACAACAACAAGGAACTCAATGTCTCTGTATAGGCAAACAAGGAACTCAATGTCTCTGTATAGGCATTTTAATTTGCCACAGTCACTACCAATAAAATCGGCTTGTAGTCAGATTCGACTGTTTAATTGCACACGGTAGCCAGGGTGTTTTTTTTTTTAAATATTAATAGCAGGCAGTAGAATGGAACGTTTAGATTTGGGTGAAGGATAATTGCTGGAGGAAATACGGGAGACTTGGTCTGGATAGGTTGCAGTGAACAAGAAGACTGCACTTCTGGGATGTTTTTGGACAGGAGACCCTCCAAAGTCAAGCGGGCTTGTCTAGTTAAGTAGTTCATTGATGTACAAATCAGCTGCATCTAGGCATAAGGACCTGCTCCAATCTGCTGGGTTTTATAATAACTGGCTGCTTTCTCTTCCATCCTTGGCAGAATTTGGAAGGGGAAGGGAGGGCAAACCCCATTGCAACCAGGGCAGGAAGCTAGTCTTTAGAAATGAATGCCCCAGGTAAAAAATTAGATTTTGTGTTAAAAAAAAAAAAAAAACTAAAACCAATCTAAGGAAGGTAACTAAATACCTTAGTCTGATCTGTGCTTGTTTGTTAAACAGTATGTGGGACGTCGTTGTGGGCCTCTTCCCAGAGGAATTCCTATCCAGGAAAACAAAAATACCTAAAGATGCAGATTTGGCCCCACCCAGGGCTTGCACGTGTGTGTGTGTGTGTGTGTGTGTGTCCTCTCTCTCTCTCTCTCTCTCTCTCTCTCTCTCTCTCTCTCTCTCTCTCCTCCTTCTTTCCTCCTTCCTTCCCTCCTTTCCCTTCCCTTCACTTCCCTTCCCTTCCCTTTCTTCCTCTCCCCTGAACCTGGGGTCTTTATAGCTGTAGATTCCATGCAATATGTCCTGGCCTAGTTCTGGGTCTGTGGGAAGTGGGCTGCGCACATGCCCCGAGACTTCAGGGTTCCACTGGTGAAAGGGGACTTGAAAGGCTGTAGGGGAAAGTGGATGTGTTGGCAGGGCGGCTTGGCAGTGTTTGGAGGCGGATGAGGGCGGAGTAGAGTACGTACCAAAAGGACATAGATACACTTGCTCGCTCGCTTGCCGATCCGGGGGGGAAAATCTTCTGTTCATCACTGCAATTGACTCCTGCTTTCCTGAGACTGGGGGGGGGGGGTGATGCAGCCTGGCTGCCTACAGCATTCATTGGGTGTCACGGATATGGCAGCGGCAGGAGCGGGAGTGCCAAAGGCCAGGCCTACGCAGCAGCCGGGAGGGCGCGATGGAGACCTCTGCCGCCCTCTGGTAGCTTCAGAGCCCATCACGGATGAAATGGCAGCTGGTCTGAGCTCAGGCCCGAGCCGCAGCCAGCAGGGTCCTCGTGCACCACCTAGCCGGCTTCAAGGAAGAGACACCTGTTGGGTGGGCGCCCCCTCCCGGGCCAGCTCACACCAGACCCCCTCCGAGTCCCCAGGCGCCCCCCTTTGGCAGTCCTTCAGGTACAATGGAAAGGACTGGTGGCCCCTTAGGCAACCCACCCCCTCACATGGGGAAGGGATGCGGGTGTGAGCGGAAAAATTTAGGTGCTGGGTCCCAAGGACTTTCACTAACCTCAACTCCTGAACCTCAGGTGACCTTAGCCACTTGTGAAGCCGACGCTCCACCTCACTGGCTGGCCCATGTCCCTTCAAGAAGTGGCAGTAAGACTCTAGCAAAGTCAGAGACGACTCTTCCGTCGGGAGCCTTCCCCAATTTCGAAGACGCTTTCAACTTAACAAAAGAAAACAAAACTCTTTGGGGGCCAGGGTGGCGGGGATTTTTTTTTTTTTAAGGCGAATCACTCACTGACGCTTTCCAGACGTTAATAGGCGTGAAGTTCCTAACACACGGCCTGAAATCTTCTCTGTGTACTTGGGGCAGAAGCCGTGTCATCTAGGGGCCTCCCGGTAACAGCTCCAAACCAAAAAACGCTCCGGTTCCGGGTCGATGCTTGGCACCATAGGCGCCAGGAGCAGGCAACCAGACACCAGGCCAGGCGGGCAGCCTCGGTCTTGAGGCTAGGCGGACAGAGGACTGTAGAAGTGAGACTCTGCAGGTGTCTCCACACTACCCTCGAGCTCACTAAGGCTTCTGCACTGGACGCGGGATGGAACCCTGGGCCGGTTTCTTCAAGATGATGAGGGGTGTCTGATCCGTATGTCCCCCAGGTGGATCGGACCCGGTCTGACTGTGGAAGGCCTTTGCAGACCAGAGCGAGAGAGCGAGAGAGCCGGTGGTGGTTGAATGGGGCCCGGGGAGTGAGGAAGGTGGCTGGGCCGAGGCTGGAGTCGGCAGCAGCGGGGTGCGCGGACGTGGCTAAGAGGACGTGCCAGTGGGAGGGGGTGAGCGCTACGCCCAGTTTGGCCAGGCTGGGCTTCACCGCGGCGGGCTGAGGGCTGGGGCGGGAGCTGCGAGAGGCGGCTGCGCGACAAAAGCCTGCGCGTCCCTCCTGCCCGCTCACTGCCACTCCTCCGCCATTCCCTGCACTCTCCACCCATCCGCTCTCCGCCCCTCCCCCGGCCTCGGCCAAGCCTAGGCAGCGGGCGGAGCAGGGGAGGGGCGGGCACCAGAATATGCAGATGAGAGCGTGACGGACAGCTCCGCGTTCCAATGTCCCTCGGAAACTCGAGCGCTCCTTCCTCAACTCTTCACTCCCGACTGCAGACTCCCCCAAACCCCGACCGCCGGCCTGGCGCGCGGCTGCGCCCACCGGCTCCGCGCTGCCGCCGCCGACACCGCCACCGCCGCCGTCCCGCGGGCCTCCCAGGATAGTGCCCAGCACAGCCTGCCGCGGCCCGTAGCCCTGGTGCGCCCCGGCCGGGCGTGGATGGAGGGTGCCGCGCGCGCTGCCCGCTGCTCTGCGTGACGCGGGCCTCGCGCCCCGCGCCCACCATGTCCTACCCGCAGGGCTACCTGTACCAAGCGCCCGGCTCGCTGGCGCTCTACTCGTGCCCCGCGTACGGCGCCTCCGCGCTGGCCGCGCCGCGCAGCGAGGAGCTGGCGCGCTCGGCGTCGGGCTCCGCGTTCAGTCCGTACCCCGGCTCGGCGGCCTTCACAGCACAGGCGGCGACCGGCTTCGGCAGCCCGCTGCAATACTCCGCAGACGCCGCCGCTGCAGCGGCCGCGGGCTTCCCGTCCTACGTGGTAACCGCTTTTGGGTGGGGGCTGGGAGACCCCCGACCCTGGCTTGGATTGAGGGGGGTAATGGATACAGGGCGCGGGCGGCGGCTCGGGAGTCACCAGCACCCGCCGCTACGCGAAACAAGGGACCGGAGTGACCCTCAGCGGTTGTGCGATGATTTCTCCTAAAACTGTGCGAGGTGCTACTCCACCCGGGCCGGGGCCATTGATTATCTCTAATCCGCGCCTACAGAGTGCTGGGGCTGCTGAATCCGCCCGCGGATCTCCGGCAAGGTTTTAAGTCGAGGGCCGCTGCTGCCCGGGCCACTGCTTTAGGGTTTAGGTTTCTTGACCAGCTAGTAGTGGCGGGGTCACCGAGTTGGGGGAGGGCACCGAGCCTCAGGCTGCCGCCCTTAGACCCAGGTCTAAGCTCTCTCTAGTCTTGGCCTTTATCTATCTCTCAGATCTGGCTTTCAAAAAATTTGTTGCCGGGTTTGGGACCCGCTAAGTGCTGCCAGAGTTCGTGCGGGGCCTATGGGCTTTCAGCTCTAGAAACCCGGGATTCTCCTGAACCTCTCTGGGTTTTGAGAGTGGGCCCCACCAGAGCGTGTCGCAGCAGTTTGGGGGCTTGTGAGGACGTGGGGCGGAAAGGGATGGGGAGTTAGACCCCAGGTGGGATTCCCTGAGTGGAAACCAGGCCTAGGGAGAAGGTTACAAACACCTCGGGTTTAAACGGTAAAGGATGAATTAAAATGCTAATTACTAAGTAGAATTGGAAAAGCTGGCTGGCTTCTGAGTTGCAAATTGGATTTATCTGCTTTAAAGAGTGAATAGCCGACTGGGGTTCCGAACTGTTTTTAATAAAGGAGGGAAGAGGGTGGGGAGCAGCGCGGGAAGCCGCCGACGAAATTTAGACATCAAGAAACTACTCGCTGAACTGCAGGGTTATCCAGAGAATGTGTTTGCAAACATTGCTTGAGCTACTCGGGAACTTAGGTCGTTTCAGGAAAAAAAAGAAGTGAGATAGTTTAAAAACAAAATTCTAGAATCGAAAGGCAGGAGTTTTGTTCCCGACAGCTGGCCTTGTGTTTCTCAGGCTCTCTGCAGAATGGTTCTCAGCTCAGAGAAGCCAAGCAAGAAAGGCAGCGATGGGGTGGGGGGCGAAAGGAGGGTCGCCTTGGGAGGGGGGTGATGCCTGAGGGGCCCATGCACCCTCCACTCACAGGCTGTTGTGGCTTCCAGGGCTCGCCATACGACACGCACACCACCGGAATGACTGGCGCTATCAGCTATCACCCATATGGCAGCGCGGCCTACCCATACCAGCTCAACGACCCCGCGTACCGCAAGAACGCCACGCGGGACGCCACTGCCACGCTGAAAGCCTGGCTCAACGAGCACCGCAAGAACCCGTACCCCACCAAGGGAGAGAAGATTATGCTGGCCATCATCACCAAGATGACCCTCACGCAGGTCTCCACTTGGTTCGCCAACGCGCGCCGACGCCTCAAGAAGGAGAACAAAATGACCTGGGCCCCGAGGAACAAAAGCGAGGACGAGGACGAGGACGAAGGAGATGCTGCCAGGAACAAGGAAGAGAATCCGGACAAGGCTCAGGATGGCACCGAGACCTCGGCCGAGGACGAAGGTGAGCGGGGCTCAAAGAGCTTTCTTCCAAGGCGGGCTGTGGTTGGGGCTGATCTTGCGCACCTGCTACTCAGGGCCCAGGCCTACAAAAGCCGCTAAATGGCTTGGGTCCGGGCCTGCGGGGTTTGCCTTGGCGAGTCCTGGGGCACTGCGGAGATGTTGGGGCTGCGCTTAACGCAGCCTTGGGGTGAGGTGCGGGGTCATGGGGAGGCCCAGTGCAGGACGTTGGGCGGATGGGACTGTGGGTGCCCGCGCTGGCCCAACTTTCCGCCCATCGTGTCCGCGTCCCCGCAGGGATCAGTCTGCACGTCGACTCGCTTACGGACCACTCGTGCTCGGCGGAGTCAGACGGGGAGAAACTGCCCTGCCGCGCCGGGGATCCCTTGTGCGAATCGGGTTCCGAGTGTAAGGACAAGTTTGAGGACCTGGAGGATGAGGAGGATGAGGAAGATGAGTGCGAGCGGGACCTGACACCTCCCAAACCCGTGACCTCCTCGCCACTCACGGGCGTGGAGGCACCCCTGCTGAGCCCGGCGCCTGAAGTCGCTCCGCGCGGTGGCAGCAGTGGCAAGACGCCCCTAGGCAGCCGGACGTCGCCTGGAGCGCCGCCGCCCGCCAACAAGCCCAAGTTGTGGTCGCTGGCCGAGATCGCCACTTCGGACCTCAAGCAACCAAGCTTGGGCCCGGGTTGCGTACCTCCGGGTCTTCCAGCTGCCGCCGCCCCCGCCTCATCTGGGGCCCCTCCTGGAGGCTCGCCCTACTCAGCCTCTCCGCTGCTGGGCCGCCACCTCTACTATACATCGCCTTTCTATGGCAATTACACAAACTACGGAAACTTGAATGCCGCACTGCAAGGCCAGGGCCTTCTGCGGTACAACGCGGCGGCCTCCGCACCAGGCGAGACACTGCACGCCGTGCCCAAGGCGGCTAGCGACGCGGGCAAGGCGGGCTCCCACCCGCTGGAGTCCCACTACAGGCCTCCGGGCGGCGGCTACGAGCCCAAGAAAGGTAGGCTGCCCGAGGCCGGCGGGGAGGGATCCTGGTGAGTCAGAGGGAGCTAAAAACCTGGGAAAGGCTCCGGGAGTGGGAAACCTTTGGACAGACAGAGCCACTTGCCAGACCAGAATTAGGGAAGTAAGTCAGTGTGAGAAAGAAAACTAGCCCTCTTTTTAGATCTTCCCTGTTTTTATTTCCTCTTTATTTAATTTACTGTTAATACTATCATCGTAACTATTTTGGTTTGGCAAATTTAACTGCAAGGCAACGAAAAATGCGCTCGACTCTCTGCTGGGTGTAGTCCCCCCCCCCCCCCCCCCGCTGTGGTGTTGGTTAAGTGGAGTTTAGCAGATTCCGTTCTGCCTTTGGCTTGAGGAAAGCACGGTTTCTGGGGAACTCCCAGAGGCCTAATTTTCTTACACCGCCTACGATGTTCCTAATTCGGCATCCCTGAGATGGGGGTTCAAGGAGAGGAAGGGGCAAGGAGGGAACATAAGTGAAATGGATCTTAAGATTCCCTGGGAGTGTGGATTCCTTGCCGGGATAAGAGCTGATAGGGGCTTAGCTGCCAGGGGTTGCAGCCTGTCCTCACTATCTGCCCCTCCTCTGACAGATGCCAGTGAGGGCTGTGTGGTTGTTGGCGCAGGCGTCCAGCCCTACCTATAGGAGGGCCAAGCTCAGCAGTGCAAGTAAGTGGGTTCCCTTTGCGTCCTCCAGCCCCAAACCTGTGCCCTGTGTAGTGTGGTGCGGTTTTGCTTGTCAAGCGTTGCTTGTCAGCTTGTCCAGGGCTTCCTTCTGGCCTCTTTGCCTTCTATTTTATAGATTTCGTTTCTACTCAAGTTCTGCTTTGAAGAATCACTTCTTTAATCAGAATTCATACATGCACGCACACACGAGCACATATACATATCCTCAAACGTTTAACATATACCTCACCTCTACTGCTGTTAGCTGATGATGGTTTAAATGATCCGGGCATCTCTGTGTCATTGAGAAGTGTTTTAGATACATAAAGGATGCCTTGCTTGATGAGGGAGTTGTGCAGAAACTCAGGCATTAAAACCTGCAATGGATGCTGTTTTCAGAATAAGATTCTGAGAAACCGGGGACTGGGCTTCCATAGGACACACTAGAATCTATAGTTCTCCTAGCCCAGAGCTGTTACAGACATTATTTTCCTGCTGGGCAGCATTACTTGTCCTAGACCCTAAACATGGCAAAGAGGCAGAGCTACTAGCTACAAGCTTGTGTTTTTTGATAACGTGTGGGTGTGGAACTGAAGAATTTGGCATGATTTGGTTTTTTCCTTGGTCCACAGGTAGGTGTCACAATTGCTTTGGAAAAAATAAATAAATAAAAGTCAGGAGGCCATTCTCCTTCCCCGAGCTCATACGTACACAGATACAAACCCCAGATGTGGAAATCCGGACCACATCTTGTGCCACTGTAAGAGAGGACGCACCTCGCACTTCCAACCCACAGACTCTGAGGACTGGACACAAGTTGTTGAGCATATGTGAATTTATTGGCATAGTATAGCTTCCCCATGTTTGTGTGACTTTTGGAAACAATCTGTTTTTTCTCAGGATATCTTGATCACTTCATTGCCACGGTATATATTCTATAGGCGTGCTAGGACTTGCTGTAAAATTTATTTGTAAAAAAAAAATAAATGTACACGGTAGAACTAACGTGATTGAAGAACTCGAGTCCTTCAGAAGTGGAAACAAATTTGATATTTATTTTTATAATGATATAAAGCTTCTAGTAATTTATGCAAGTTGTATTGCAATGAAATCTAAAACTTTTGTAAATAAATTCTGCCTGGTTTTTATTTGAACATTGCTGGTTATACAATCTCTGTTGGTTGTTTAACATGAATTCTCTACTAATTTATATCTAAAACTGTAAATAAAAACAAACTAGCCTACAAGAAAATGGTGTTCAGGGCTCGTTTTTACTAAAGAGTGATTTGGGTAAGGGTCCTAGTGGTGCCCCAGCCCCCAGGTGATCCTAAGTCATTTTTAAAATGAAGAGCCCAGTGAAATAAACTTCTTTCTTGGCCTTATTTGAAAATTACAGACAGAAGAGGGAAATATAAATGTGTAACAGGGCAATACCTATGGTTCTAGATTTACAAACAAACATGCAGCAAGAAAATAATTTAGATTTTTTTGTTCTCTGAATATGCAAATCCATCCTTAGTGTAAATTTCTAAAACATGGACAAATAAAAGGATATGCCACGTCTCTCTGCATTTTATCTTCTTTTGTGGTGCTGGAGAAGGATCTTCCCATTCATACTGGAGAGTACTCTCCCACAAGAAATTACTGATGGGAAGGGTTGTTTTCCTAAGCCTGAAATATCTCAAATGACATAGATCATGCACGTTTATCAAGGGACTCTTTCCTGTTCTGTTCAGTTTCCGTTAACAGGAGTGGGGCGGGAGGTAGATACTCAGCTACCCTTGCCCTCAGGGAAAAGAAGTTTAAACATCCTCAGACATTGTCTCTTTATTGTCTACTCACCTCCTAATTACAAGACCAGCCTGGAATCTGCAGCCGAGTAACCCAGCCCCTTTGATTAGTATCATAAAAGCAGCCAGTATGTCACTTCGTCTCTTCTCAAATTATGTAGATACCCATATAATAAAATTTCTGAGGAGAAATGAACAATCATTTATTTCCTCTACAAAGATGAATTGAGTGAATATAACTTACGTTTATAAAGCAAGAATAATGGTTCCTTAGATTGCCCTTTAATCAATCATACAGTTATTTTCCAAGAGGCTCACCTATTTCATCCCGTGATTAATAACACTGCAGCAGGGGAGCGTTATTGGAGCCCAGCGGGGGAGGTCTCTGGTGCTTTGGGCTGCTCTGGAATGGTCAGTTGGGGTTCATTATGGGCTGAGATTGAACGATTTATAAAATCTTGTCTAAACATCTGCCAGCTCCGATAGGCTGATGTGGCCGAGGATGGGAAATTGCTAGGCCAGTTGATATTGACAAAAGGATCTCTCTCCAGTGGCTTTTTGTGCCATAGAAATTAGTGGCCTCTTGCTGGGGTCTTGTTAGAAAGGGTATTGGAAAGTCATCTTATGTACTTGAAGCAAAGCCTCCAACAGGCCAGCCTGGGGAGGAACTAAGTTGACACCTCTGGAGGGGGAAATGAAGGCTGCTTGGGCTTTGGGGATTGGTTTGAAATGCATGGGCATTTAAAGTTCAGATCTAGAGTCAGTTTCTGGATACAAGATACTTTTCTCCCTCCCTGTCTCCTGGGGATAGAAATGGAAGTGTTTTTAGCTGAGCTCTTGGGGTCCAAAAAGAAGGACTATTATTACTACATTGTTTTATTATTATTATTATTATTATTATTATTAT